GAAAGAAATACAAAGCAGAGAATAGAGTGTGGGGTAGCAGTAGTAAATAGGATGGGCAGAGAAATCTCCACTGAGATTTAAGTAAATACTTGTTGCCCTTTGACAATACAGAATTGATATGTCAAGTCCATCAGATAAGGCTGTGACCAAAAGCACAAAATAAAGCTGGAGACAGTGGGGTACAAATGCAAATTCCTATTAAGAGCTGTGGAAAATAAACCAGACAGTTACTATAACTGGTGAATATAGTGGTTTCTCAGATCCAGCACTGTGGCCATGTGAGATTTGGGTCAGGGTTGCCAGATCTGCTGTCTTCCAAGAGAAATAAAAAATCTGATTTTTTAAAAATTGATTTACAATATTGTGTTAGTTTTAGGTGCACAGTAAGGTGATTTGGTTTTATATATATATATATATGTATGTATGTATGTGTATATATATATATATATGTTCTTTTTTGAGAATTCTTTTCCATGGTTTGGAAAGCACACATGTGACTCTTCTGTCCCTCATATAAGGACACCACTGCTCATATTGAACTGTGGTGTTGGAGAAGATGCTTGAGAGTCCCTTGGACTGCAAGGAGATCCAACCAGTCCATCCTAAAGGAGATCAGTCCTGAATATCCATTGGAAGGACTGATGGCTGAAGCTGAAGCTCCAGTACTTTGGCCACCAGATGGGAAGAACTGACTCACTGGAAAAGACCCTGATACTGGGAAAGATTGAAGGCAGGAGGAAAAGGGGATGACAGAAGATGAGATGGTTGGATGGCATCTCTGACTCAAATGAAATGAGTCTGGGTAAACTCCGGGAGCTGGTGATGGACAGGGAGGCCTGGTGTGCTGCAGTCCCTGGGGTCGCAAAGAGTTGGACACAACTGAGCAATGGAACTGAACTGGTTATATTGAATTAAAGGGCCATCCTATCAGTTGACCTCATTTTAACTAATCACATCTGCAGTGACCCTCTTTTCAGATAGAGTCACATTCTAAGGTATTGAGGATTTGGACTTCAATATATATTTTGCAGGGAAGACAAAATTTAGCTCATAATAGCTATCAATTAGTATGCATTTAAAAAATAGTGCCTTAGTTAACACTCTGGAAGAAATAAATCATATAGGTGACTCACAGCTTATTCACTTGGGAACTTTAGGCCAAACATTAAGGAGCCTACAGAAAGGACTGTAAGCGCAATTAGATAGACATGGCTCTCTCTGTTTGTCTCTGAGGCCCATAGCGCAGTGCCTGCCGAATATTTGCTGAAGTAATGAGTAGATGAATGAGTGGTGATGTTTCTTTTACGTACCAGATAATCTAGAATACTATTCTATTAGCACAGAATCTATCTTTACTTGCAGTTGATCTTTATTTGCAGTCGATCAAGACTGTACTCAACGTTCAATACTCTCTGCAGGTTTCTACTCAAATTTGGACAGAGCTGTATAGACTAGTAACCCCACTCCTAACCTGGCACTCCCTTCCTCCTTCCTCTGCCTTGGATTTCTGTGGATCGTGAGACTTGGGCCTGTGTCTGAGACACTGCCCTGAGATGCTGCCCAACCACCCTGTTCTATTTTTCACTAGATCTTAAATGCCAGTCTTTCTTTTTCTGTGACAGAGATTGCCTGTGATTTACCAAATGTCCCATCTTCTCTTTCCTTAAAGGCAGAATGTGAGGGCAATTTGCCTAGCTGAAAAACAACACTTTCAAGCCTTGATCACCAGCAAGAATAGCTAAAGATATGTAAGTGGCAATCTTGGGGCATGGCTTCTGGAAAGCTCTTTATGTCCTATTCAACCATCCTGTTTCGTGCTAGAAGGTAAATGTGACAACCGGAGCAACAGCAGTCATTTGGGACTGTAAAGGGGTATTAACAATGAAAGCTACACATTGAGGCTGGTGGCATGAGAGAAGTAGCCTGGCTTCCTGCTAATATCTTGGAGTCACCATATTAACATCGGACAACTTACATCCATACTTCCTTCATGTGAAAAGAAAAGTGCAGTCTCTGATTTGTTTCAACCCCAGTGCAAATCATATTTCTATCTTCTCCTTCCCTTTTTGTGCTAAGTCGTTTCAGTCATGTCCAACTCTTTGCAACCCTATGGACTATAGCCCACCAGACTCCCCTATCCGCAGAGATTCTCCAGGCCAGAATACTGGGGTGGATTGCCATGCCCTCCTCAGGGGATCTTCCCGACCTAGGGATGGAACCTGCGTCTCTTACATCTCCTTCATGGGTAAGCAGGTTCTTTACCACTAGTGCCACCTGGGAAGTTCTTCTGTCTATTTCAGGGAAAGACATTTCCCAGGCTCTCTTGCCTTCTGCTTTCCAGAGAGAGTCAGCTAACAGGAAGAACTGGTTGAATCCGGGAGGGCCTGAGGAGGGGAAAAGCCAGAGTCTGTCTTCTCCTTTCTCTCTGCTGCAGGAGAGGCAGTGGATATAGGGCTAACTCACGCCAGACTAGCTTCTCTCCGCAGGGAAAGCTCCACCTCTGTCCTGTGGTCCCTGCTCCTGGGACCCAGCATCACCATCCTGCTCATCTCTGTATCTGGCGGTCGGAGGGCCTTCCTCCAGTTGCTAATCAGTAGGTTTCTCACTGAATCCCACTTAGCTTCTCAACTCTTTTATCATCTGTGTAACAAATGCCTGTATAAAATGCCCTTTTTGACTTGTCTGTTTTCTGACTGGACCCAGAATGATCCAGCACAAAGGTCCGCAGGAGAGAGGAAATCCCAGCCGAACACAAAGCCTGCCTCTTTTATCTCCCATCAGAGTTTGTGGAAGCAGCAGAGAAGAAGCCTCTAAGATCTAGAGCCTGTCAATGCCGCAGTTAAACCCACAGATCCTGGCCACTGGTGGCTTCCGCCTGCCAGATCGGAGCCTTTCCTGAAACTTCTGAACCAGTTTGAGAGAACAAACTGGAAGGTCTCATCTCTCCTGGGTGGTGCTGGGTGTTTGCTGTTGGCAATCACATCACTGTCACAGATTCTCCTTGGAGCCGGCAGACAGTCCCGTGTGCACCCTGCTACTCTGCTTTTGCCCCTGGGACCAGGTAGAGAATGGGATCCTGAGGTCCCACCATGATCTTCCTGCATTATCTGCTCTTTGAGACAGCCTGTTTCCTAGAGTATTTCCTAAATGTGTGCAAGCAGTGGTTTATACTCCTCCCTTTGGCATTCAATCCACAGTCTCCACAAACACCTTGCTTTCCCACTTTCTGTTCCACCGTCCTGGCAGGTGTGAGACTGGGAGGCCAGATTTGATGGTCACAGGCCTTCCCACCAACTCCAGCATTCCGCTTGTATCCTTCCCGTCCTGCCAAGAACTAATTCCACCTTCTTTAAAATCTATATTGGCCGCTGTGAGAGTCCATATTTCCCACTCTGCCAGCGTCTTCTGTAGGAAATATTCTGTGGAATCACACTGATGAGCCTTCATAACAGAGCACGATTCTAGATTTCTGCTAAGCCATTATCCACACAGCAGATTTCAGTGCTTGACGTTCCTCGTCATGGAAGGATACCCTGATACACCAGCAGCTCAGGCTGAATCTGCCCATCACTTGTCTACTGTAGCAGAGCGCTCCTGGCTTATTTCACCTGACGTGGCCAGTCCCTGTTCTACAGTTCTGCAAGGCCACCCGCTTCCACGTTCATAAGGTATAATTCAAGAATGAACTCAAATGTATTCATAGGTGATCGCACACAGGCAAAGGGTTTGGAGGATGGTTCAAATATTCAATTCTCATTCCCACAAAGATTGCCTTTCAAACCATACAGAATTCCCTGGCTGTTGACACTAGAAAGTTCTTTTTCCCTTTGTATTCTCTCCCCTGCCTGCAATCTTCCCTGCCCCTTGTGATCATGGCCGGCAAAACCTGTCCCTCTTTCCAGCCCAAGGAAACAAAGCTGGAGCATTAAACCCTTTAGTGAGCTGCACTGATATAAGCAAACAAAACTCTTTTTGCTAATATTGATCAATTCTCGTCACGCAGCCTCTGTGTCTACATGTCCTTTGTCCTCTCCCTTCAAGGGCAAGAATGAGGAGTAATAAAGAAGTTGGTGACAGCAGACTCCATCCTGCTGCAGAAGAGAATAAGCAATGGATTAATTTTATACTAATGAGGAAAAAATCAGTAAGATTAATTTTAGAAAGGTTTAGGGGACATAGAATTGGAATGAACAGAGATGGATAAGTCCAAAGGATTTCTAAGATAGAACCTTATAACTAAAAAGTCCTTTTTCCTTTAATATTTTTCTATGTAACTGTTGTTTTATAAAGAACATTCTTCAAGATAGACATCTAGAGACTGACAGATAAACCTGCTAGGCAACCCAGCCTATCAATTATGAAACTGCCGGTGAGCAAGTCTTCACATCAGAGTCACCAAGTTGCAAGAGAATTATCTGTGAAGAAAGAAGCCTCTCCTAACATGGTAAACGTGCATTTCAGGGGAATGAAAAAATCTTGCTCATAGTCCTTCTACAAAAACAACAATTTTTCTTCACGTAGAAATTGTTGCAAGGGACATACAATGCTGTGAACTGAAATGGAAGCACACCAATACATTATTTCTGTTCAAAACATCTCTGCTTGACTCACCCATCTCCACAGTCTGGAATAACATGGTGAACCTTCCAGGTATGGGAAAATAAAAGAGATTGGTTCTGAATAATTTCTATTTTTTACATAATGTGTTCTCTCTTGCTGTGAAGCAAAGAGGTATACTGACTTAGCACCTTTTAACATCTATTCTTATTTCTCAGGCTGAGTCTGCACACCAGTGACTTTCTTACTGGTGGTTGGAGGTATTTTGCAATGGCAGGCTATGTACCCTAAAAAACACAGTTGCTTTGAAAAATAAATGTTACTCACTCTTAATCCCCAAAACAGATTTTCCTTATTTGGTGAAAATGTTAGGGGGCAAGCCCAAGTGAGAAGAATGCATATGATTTAAGGCAGTCTGCTATAGTTTACAACTTAACTGGTTGCTTGACCTCTGTTGGTCAAGCACACAGCTCTAAGAGAACTGCACTTTTCACTTCTAATAAGCATTTATAATTGGGAAATAAAGTGTGATCTACCGCACTCACAGTGAACTTGGGTGGTCCTGGGGGAAAAGTAGCCAGCTCTATTTTGTACAATCACAAAACACTCTGGAAGGAACCACAGCAGTGGTTCTCTCCAGCACCCCCATAACAGTGAAGGAAATGAGGACACTTAGAGCTGGCCTGATTTTAGCATGAAAGTCTCCTGTGCTGGGAAGCCCCCTTGATCCTGGAATGGTTGGTCAGTTTAAGGTTAGGTCTCAATTTTGGGTCCTCTGATTACTGACTCAGTGATGTTTGTCCCACCCATCTTTGCTTTTTACTGAGATTATAGTTGTCCTACCACTGAAGACAATTTTTAAATAATTGTAAGTGCTAATTATGCATTCTCTGTCTATTTAAAGGATGAAATAAAATTTAGAGTTTTGGTTTCCCCATATGCTTTTTAGAGGATTATTCTCATATGAGACATGCCCTAAATATTATTTTACTTTATTCTCTCCCTTTTTATTCCTAGAAAGGCATAAATTTGTGTTGTTATACATGGCTTAGGCTGATAACAATCAGTAGACGGTTCAGATAAACAAAATGAATTGGAGAGGTTATGAGTTATTTGCAAGTGTCACCGTGGAGACCAGAGAATGGATTGTCACCATGGAGACTTGCATAAACACTCTGCCTGTAATGATCTCCTTGTGAAATCAGATGCAGAAGAGATTTGGGGAGGAGGGTATGTAAAAGGAGCTATATGACTGGAGTGAGTTGTGTAAGGTTAGGGATGTCAAGGTAAGCTGACAGATTCTGCATTCACTGTTGCTCCGCTGCCAATGAGCAGGAAAAAGAACTTGAGGGAAAGCCTCAAAGTTCAGAGGGTGAGAAAAGTGTGCTTCCTCATGTCCTAAGATACTGCGGGATCTGAGATGTTTCCCATTCATGTACAACTCCTTTTTTGACACTGGCTATTCATCACTGTTGTTATAGCAAGTTCTCTGGAGTTAGCATGTGATAATAAGAATTGTTCAAAAATCCTTAACAAAATTCTAGCAAACAGAATCCAACAACATATTAAAAAAATCATACATCATGACCAAGTGGGCTTTATCCCAGGAATGCAAGGATTCTTTAATATCCACAAGTCAATCAATATAATACACCACATTAACAAATTGAAAGATAAAAACCATATGATTATCTCAATAGATGCAGAAAAAGCCTTTGACAAAATTCAACATCCATTTATGATTAAAACTCTCCAGAAAGCAGGAATAGAAGGAACAT